CTTTTGTTTGACAACGTATATTGTATGGAAAAACAAATAGTGTAAAAACATTTTAAGCGAAAATTAAAATAAACAGTTGGTTTTGTTGAAAAAAGCTTGCACGTAACAAATTTGTTAAATAAATTGTTGTACAAAAAATTATGTCTATAAAATATTTAAAATATAATATGAATAAAGGAAGGCGCTGTTTTTAAGAGTTATTTTTTTTGTTATTTTATTGAAAACGGAATGAAATATGTAGCAATGACCATTTGTTTTAACTATTATATGTAAAAATACTTACAAATTTATATAAATATTGCAAAATATATGGCACAAAGATCAATATAATGCAATATAATGAATTAATTACCAAATGGCGGTATATAACAAAAAGTCTAAATTAGATATAAATCAATTTATAATATTAATAAAGCAGATATAAGGTTTTTAAAAAAATATATTTATTATATGGTAGGTAAAGTTGTTTTTCTGTTTACATATAGGTAGGTACCTACCGACGATCTTTGTTTAGTAAGTACGCTATACGCATAAAATATATTATGATATATTTTCTTATTTTATCTATGCGTTTAAGTGAATACAACAACAACAATGACATTTCAATTAGTTTAATATAGGCATAAGCCAAAGATTATACCTAAGAATCTAATATCAATACATTTATGTATTCAGCCCTTTTAACGTCCTACTGCTGGGCGCGGCTCTACCTTCAACACGAGAGAGATCAAGCCATAGTCCGCCAGCGCCACGCTGGCAAAGTGCGGGTTGGCGGTCTTCATATATCTTTCGAAAACTAGGTTCTCTCAGACATACAGTTTTGCACAAAATATTTTCCTTCGCCGTAAGGAAAGGCGTAATCATGTTGAAAATGATTCGCACATTAAAATATCAGAGGTGCGAGACCCGGGATTTGAGCCCGCTTCACTCGGTTTCCCAAGCGAGCTCGTTATTATTACTAGGCTACCACTGCCTCTTTTTATGTCTTTTATACAACATACAAATTACACACATACTATCAAGAATAAAATTCAAAGCAAACAAAATAATGAAAATATATAAAAATGAATGAAACTACATACTACGCTTGATAGAGAACTCTAAAATTTCTTGGGAAAGCATTCCTGTTTTATGTTAAAGTGTAACATTTATATTCGAAAGCTTCGACCTCAATTCGTTATTTAGTTTACCGAGGTATTGTTAAGTTTTATAATTTATCTTACGTTACGGAAACAATATAATTAATTAACTAAAATGAGTTTCATTTATTACTAAGTACTTTGGTAAAATTGCATCTTTTCTATACGATATGTTAAGAGTTAAGACAATATTATTAAAGTTTTCAGTCTTATATTTAAAACCAAAGTATGGTAAAAATGGATTTAGAAACATGATATCACTCTCAATTTATTATAAATAGAGATTAATGTTCGAGTATGGTGGTATTACAACGAAATCTCGTCTAACCCTGTCGCGACGGCGGAGGGCGGCGAACCTCACTGTCTCGTTCGTAGTCTGGACCTTTGTTCTGTGCTCTTGGCCTTTAATAACTGCATGATTTTGGATACCTGATCGTTAAATTTTAGTACTGTTCACAAAAACGCTTTTGAATGACGAGAAAATAAGTATAGTGTATATTTCTATGAGATTTAAACAAGACATACTATATAGGTATTTTTAATATACCACTTGTATATTTTGAGGTTCTGAATATTCTATATTGTTATTATATATGTTTATCTGTGGCAATTAGAAAGTCATTTTTGTACTTCCGATGGAAAAATGGTATTCTAGTAACGGAACCCAATTTTTTCTTATAAAACTTAAAGGCTAATTATAAAGTCAAAGGAGTAGATGAATTAAATATCCTATATGTATATGCCTAAAAACCTAATCTTTAAACTCTACTTAACTTAGTTTATAAATTATCCTACTAACGACATAATTATAATAAGTTAGGTAAACAAAGAAAATTATATAATATAGATATACAGTTATTGACGTTAGATAGATGAAATACGCAGAAACAAGACAGATTTGGTTAAAAGAATAAGAAAAACACGATACAAAAAACTATTTTTGCACAATATAAACATTCGCTAATCGCACGTGCTTAGTTGTGACGAGGCGTGACAAAATCGTCCTAGTGTCCTTCACCGAAGCTATTAAAAAACTGTTTACGAACACCATTGCGATAAAGTTATATTGCGCAGCAAATATATTATAGACGTATTGTTTATTTCTTTAATATATTTTCAAGTAGGTACAATCAGTTACAGAAATGCCAAGATTAATAAAATCGTCGAATTTCAAAGTACTTACAAAGTAAAAACAAAATGTTGCTTTACCATTTTCTTTTCAAGAACTGGAACTTTTGAGCGAGCTAGGAAATCTCAACAAAAAGTTGTGGTAACGCGAGACCTACGTTTCCGTGCATACTGGATATAAAAATATTCTGCTAAAGTATATTTAAATTATTTATTTCTTATTTATGACTTTTCAAATGATATGATTTTGAAGATACTCTACATAGAGTCCTTTGCTATTATGTTTTGATATTTTATAAGAAGCGCAATGGTTACAGTAAATTCACTTAGTTAATTAACTTTCTTATTTTAAATACTACCGGCTCACCCTCGCTACGCTCAGTTTGCTTCTAGGAAAACAATAACAGACCTATCCCACAGGAACCGTACATTTTTCCGTGATAAAAAGTAGCCTATGTGTTATTCCAGACTATAATCTATGTCTGTGCCAAATTTCATCCAGATCCATTCAACCGTTCTGGCGTGAAAGAGTAACAAACATCCATACTCACAAACTTTCACATTTATAATATTAGTATAGATGAACTATACATAGGTTTAAAATGTCTCTAATTCGTGGATTAATATTAAAATTAACAATATGTTAGCTAACAATTTACAATGAAGAACCAGAGTCATTCATCTTTATTGCCGCATAATACGGGAAGTTAAGCTGTAACTTTTGTCTACTAAAGTACTATAATCCCTCCACGAGCGCGGACACGCCGGCGTGTCAGTTAACAATGGATTTCTTAGAATTTTAATTGATTTCTTAGAAATTCACCTTTAGGTGTTAAAATTAATATTGATCGTTATAAGCCAAAGTTTTTTTTATTAAATCTTGCGATCAGTCTTTCAGACTATGAGCAGATGAGATGGTTCTAATGACATGTTAATCTCTACTCCCAGTGAAGACTGCCCTATCTTTACAAAGTCATTCTTCTTTCTGACTGTTCTGGTCGAAAATGTCATGCCGCTTTTTTAATCGGCGAATGCTTTCTGGGATAGTAAGCTGTCCTGCTAGTTTTTTCGAATGCCTTAGCAGCCGGGATTTGTAGTTTTCGCCATGTGTATTTATCTCCTCATTGACCATTTATATGCCAAAGTGAACAATAAAATAGAAAACAAAAATAGAATTTAATGTTTTCATGTAGGTAATTCAATAGATTCCCAATTTAAAATTCTTATTTGGTTGATTAGGTAATATATTATATAGGTATTATGTACATATTTAGGATAGTGTTTTAATAAATTGCTTTAATGTTATCTTTAATTCATGTCACGGGGAACATCGCCAATCGCCATAAGATTACAGACGACAATATGATTAATTGTAATTTGTAAATCAGATACATCATCAACAGAAATCATATTAATGTAAAAGACTTTGTCGTTGAATAATAAATCCTTTTTGTAATTAATAACCGCGTAACGTGAGCTTGGTCGGCTTAAAACAATGAGATCATAACCATTAAGTATTGAGCGCCCTGTGGTAGACCGAGTTTCGCTCAGGCCTCGGAACGATAGCAAGGACGGCTCTCTATTTCTGAACGAGAATGATGAAATGCGCGGGAATTAACGCTCTACGCTTTTAAATATCGAAGCATTAAATTCAAGTCAATATTTTTTATACAATCTACAATTTTTTTAATAACAATTTGTTAAAGGAAGTAAGTATATTGATAACTAGGTCACGGTCGAAATCGACACCGCATGGCAAGCTTTATAGCTACATTTTTAGTAAGTGGCTAAGTGCACAAGAATCGTCTATTTTTTGAAAATGAATTGGTAATGAAGTATCTATATTTTTATTTTGATTAACATCTAAATAAACATATATTATTCTTTATTTTTATCCTATGCAATTAAAATAATAACGCGGTCATGTTTGTAAATAAAACGGGTAGACCACGATCTTTGTTGCGTCGTGAGATGAGATGGTTTTGAACTTAGAGCCCAAAATTTTTATTTTTTACACCATAAACTATATATATAGTTAAGATTTAGAAGAAAAAAATGTAAACGTTCATTTTATAACTTCATTATTAATTATTGATTTTAAATGGAAAGTAAGTTATTAATATATTATATTATTTTAATCGTAGACAGAAAAAAAATGTTTTTCCACATTATTTTATCAGTATTAAATTGCGACTAAAACTGTCAATATATCATCGAAAACTAAGAGAGATGTCAATCTTTAATTTTGTCTTTTGGGTCGATGTATCGAAATCCTTTGCTAATTCGAACGCCAAAGAAACTATGTCGTATCAAAAATATTGCCTATATATTTTATACTAGCGAGTAGGTACTCGGAGTAGCTCGTATGGTAAACACAAAGTGTTTCGCTATCTAAGAAATTACGCATCGAATGATAACATATTTCGAACCTTACCACGTTCTACAGTATATTAAGGATGTGTAGCAATTAAAACTAGACAAATACATATATTATTCAAATATATTGAATAATAAATTTATGAACTAGCGAAATTTATTATTTACACGAAGTGTAGTTACCAACAACGAGGAAGTTGTTTTACAATTACTACGTTGTGGCTTTTTGCTATGATGATCGACATTAAAATAACTAGTTTTATTAGAAAAACAACTACATAATTACATTAATATTTCTCTGAACTGAAAGAATATGTTAAAACTTAATAATTAGTATAAAATAATAAATATACTCACGATTTTATTCTCAGCGTTGTTTTTTATGCATTTAAGAGATGATTTTCCAGTGTGGAATGAAAAGTATAATTATTTACAGTTCGCATAACAATGGAAATAGCGACAATTAAAGTTTATTGTAAATAATTTATAACTAAACCCAGAGCACTCTCATAAACAAAGAATATTGCACCACAAATTACCGTTAAAATAACAAAAAAATAAGAACTCTGATCACTAATCACTAACAAAAAAGAACATCGATCTGATTTACTCTATCAGCTGTTTACATGTTTCCCAGATGCGTCGCAAAGATTTCCATACGTTCCTCTAAACGCTCTGAAATGTGACAAGAGAATGTTTACATCAATACATTGAACAAATGAATATTGCACAGACGCAATACCAGTTCTCACTCACACTAACGCAATGATCTTAGAGCCGTCAGCTGTGTGTGTGAAAGCAAAATATTGACTTGCAGGAGAGGGGGTGAAAGAGGTCAATGACGTTACCAGATGAAAAATGAAAGAGAAAAACTATTTTTTATCAAAGTAAAATAAAATTAGCTGAAGGAAAGCAACGGAGATAATATAATTTTACATATTTAAGAAAAAAAGACTCGGATATCTTAAGAAGGTGCTTACCAATTTTCGTATTCTACATTTGCTTACTTAAAATTTTAAAGGAATATTATTTTTCACTACAATTTAAATATATTTTTACATTTTAACTTTCAATTTAATTTAAAATATTGTCTTTATGTCATATTAGTTTAATTACCAGCCAGTTACTCTTTGAGATTTAATTTTAAAATTCATGATTAATTAGTACACATAAAACTATCAAAGTTTATAAATTATAATATAAGTGTTGAATATCTGTATGTATTTAAACACTGTTGATTATATTATATGATGATAAAGAATGTAACTTATTATTGTGTGAAAGTTTGTAAACTAAGGCCATGGCTATGTCTATGGTCCATCTCAAGCCGTACTTTCACACCAGACATTGACACTTGACAGTTGACAGCCGTCAATCACGCAATTTAAAAGTCATAACATTAAAAATTGTCATTCGTAAATAATTATTATATAGCAAAGAAAATAGAAATAAATAGAATTCAGAACTTTAGTTGTGATAGTGTCCTTAACAAATTATGTACAGTATGAATAAGTTAATTAAATAAGATATTAGTACTATACTTGAAAACTGTAGATAAGTATTTATAATAGATAATACAATTTGTATTATTTTTACGCAGAGTTGCCCTTTATAGGCAATATTTATTTTCATTTATCATGATAAGTTATCAAAATGCTGATAACTGACAGACCACACATCAATAGTTGAATAAATATATTTGGCCAGAAATATATTCAAGTAAGTATTTCAATACAAATATTATTCTACCCTAAAATTGTACATATATAAAAATATAAACCTGGATATTTTATTGAATTGTATTTATAATATATTTTTTATTTATATAATTTACACCGAATTTTATTAAAATTAGTAATGTCATTAATTCCCTAATTAAGCCGGTTACAATAAAATAACATATAAATTAGTATTCTTTGGAAGTTGAGCAAAGTATTCTACTAAGATAAAATATATATATAAGCAGTTTACCTCTGACAATGGGTGTGGACTAAATCAATAAAATGTACAATCCATGAAGGAAACAGTATGTACCAAAACAGAAATAAAGGCTTTTGCAAACCCCTACACACCTACTAAAAACCCTGCTGCCGCTCTCATCGAAGCTATTTGACCTAAACACAAAAGATTGAGTGGGACAGCTTTAATCTGTCTCAAGGAGTTCAAGCATCACAAGCTTAAGAACTAGTTAAGCTTACGAACTGAACCCTTCTGTGCAATTGCTAAACAACAAATCTATACAATTCTCAAAAACCTCTAAAGTTACAAAGCACTTCGAGTGTGGCAGTCCACTACTGGACAAAAACACTCCAAAGTAAAGCAAAAATTTTATGAAAGAGTTGCTTCAACTCAACAAGTCAAAACAAAATCTGTATGGTAACTAAAATATTCATTGGCCACTGCAAACTTAATAAACATATGTTTACATTCAGCTTGGGTAATTCCGTAATGTGTAGACTATGTTATGAGTCAGAGGAGTCCGTAATCCACATCCTCTGCTTGTGTGGACCACTCATGCACTGCAGAAGTAGAAGCATCTAGGGTAGCATGTTATGGCCCCCCCCTCCACCTCCCCCTAACTTTTCACCCAACGTGCGTTCAACTTGTCGTGTGGGGGGGCTTATTACTTTCGTTGCTCTTGGTACATCTTTGATAGCAGAGTAGAGAGTAGATTGTTGAAGCAACCCCATGTCTGTCGTGGCCTGCCTCGGTAGACCTGCCGCCGTGGTTGAGTGCGTAAGAGATCCTGCGACGCCCCCATTACGACGGAGGAGGTCTTGTTGGTTTTAGTGGGTAGTACTGGTTTTTCTAGCTGATGAGTCCTACATAACCACCTGTTTGTATTCAAGTGGTATGCGTAAATGCATTACCCAACATTAAAAAAAAATGTTATGTCATCCGAGGAGATACAGACGCTCTCTGCTCAAAAGATTTAGAAGTTCCTAGAATCAACAGGACTAATTGGAGAACAAGAAAGCTACAAAGGATCAAAACTGGTCAAAGTAGCATGGCCGATCTCGGCACGACACTATTTCCTAAATAATAATATAAATATACGAAGTTCATACAAATATGTGCAGGTATAAATAACTGAACTAACAATGAACATAATCAGTCATCTTAATAAACAAACTACAGCTCGTAGTGTGTTGATACAACCAAACATTGTGAAATAATTTATTTTGCCTTCAACAGAATGATCCCAAAGATAACGCTCCATACGTTGAAAATTACTGCTTTGGCTTATAACACAGGAAAAGTGCGTTTTCTGTCTACAGGGATGCAGAAAGGGTCAGATTTATTTTTTAGACAGGTAAGGGCTTTTAATAATAATAGATTAGTGATGCACCTAGCTACTCTATGTGATATATGTACAGTTAATTAGTACCACTTTACTGATATATAATTATGTAACAGAACTATACCTGTCACTATCTATATATAATATTTATATCTATATATAATTGTAACGGGGATAAAGTATGTAATTTAGTGAATATAAAATGGATCATATGAAAATTCATTTCAGTTGGTTGACAAGACCAACTGAAAATTTTTTTTATGTGAAGAATATTGAAGAAGAACTATCTTGAAGTATGTGTTCTATGGATGTACGATACATTTTTGGTCATTGTTGAGTAACTTATATATAAAAATGATATAACAGCTTAATAATTAATTTTATGTGATTTTAGTTGTTCGACACAGTGAGCAGTACATATACTTATTTACTGGGAGATATGAATTCAAGAGAGGCCGTGCTAATAGATCCAGTGTTAGAACATGCAGAGAGAGATGCAACATTAATCAAAGAGCTGGGTTTTGATTTGATTTATGCAAGTGAGTTTATATAAATTTTTGTTAAGCATTTGCAAAGGACATTTACTAAAGAAGTTATATTAATTGGTGACTACCATCTAATACAGTACCTTTATACAATAACGTATATAATATAATAATACAAAATATTATATAATATTTAACAAATATTATATTTTTTCGACTTGGTAATTTATGTTAATATTGAATTTGATATAGTTCTAGTGTTCTTTGTGAGTTTTATTTTTTTATTTTTTGGGTTTTAGTTTATAGTCAGAATGATTTGTTTAATTTTTAGGGTTCCATACCTCAAAAGGTAAAAAAGGAACCCTTATAAGATCACTCTCTTGTCCATTTGTCCATCTGTCTGTCCGTGTGTCACCACCGATTTTCTCAGGAACGGGTGGACCTAGCAAGTTGAAATTGATATCTGATACTGAGGTCTATAGTACCTATTAGATGTATAAAAATCAAGGTCCTGAGTCAACACAATAATAAGATATGGGCAATTTTAGATTTTCGCGAAAACTTTTAACAAAATGTACATTAATTTTCAACTTTTTTATTTTTCGGAATTTTCCCTTCACTTGTGTTTAGACCTTGCTTTTAACCAAAATTGACAATTCTAGGTCAACCGGAAGTACCCTATAGGTTTTGGGTCGAAAACCTATACGGTAGTTCCCTTCACCTAGAATCACGAAATTTGGCAAAAAGCACTTGGTCCTTACAGCACAAATAAAGGAAAAATTCCAAAAAATAAAAAAAATGTTGAAAAATAAAGTTAAACAGATTCCCTACAAATTTGTACGGAGGCGTGTCCGACTCGCACTTCTCCGTGTTTTTTATCGTTTAAGATGCCTACAACAAAGAACTAACTAGCTTCACGCAAGCCCCTAATATTTTTTTATAAGAAGCACAAATTTTTCATTTTATTGAAATAACAATTTGGATTAATTGATCACACATAGAAATGTACAACCGTTTATGTACTCACTAGCATTATATGTGTTAAAGTATATTATTTGATAGCATATTGTTTGACTTGAGAACAATAGGTTAGTTAGAATATTTATTGTTGTAGTAAAATAAAATTGTGTACAGAATAAAATAGTCTTATGAATAAAATTGAAGTGTTTGTTTGTCAGTGATTTTATAATAATGTGTTTCATGTGTGATTTTCTAATCTGCATTTCTCTCTCTCTCTCTCTCTGTTCATTTTGTGGTGAAATGTATTCTAATTTTCCATTAATGACATCTTCCTATTAACAATATTCATTTAGCCTTAATAAATTTACCATTATAAAAACACATAAAACTGTCAGCAACTGGTAATGTAGAATAATTGTATCAGGTAAATTTTTAATATTGAATATTTCATTGAAAAATTGTTTTAATAGATGTTTTTGAGTGGCATAAGCCAAATGTTAAATATTTAATTTGTTCGTATGTTTGCATGTGTATTAAGAATCTTAAGAATGTTTATTTTTAAGTTATTTGGAAAAATAATTTATAGTTTAATTTATTTTATGTTTCTACTTTCAGTGAACACTCATATGCATGCAGACCATATAACTGGCACGGGAAAACTGAAATCTCTTATTCCCAGTACAAAAAGTGTAATAGGAAAGGCTTCTGGCGCTAAGGCTGATTTGCACTTAGTCGATGGAGATATGATATGCTTTGGCTCCCAACAGCTCTTAGCATCAGCTACGCCTGGACATACAAATGGTTGTTTAACATATATTTGTCATGAACAAGTGAGTATTGAGTTCTTTTTCATCTATATATGAAACTAGTGACTTACCCTCGCTTCGCTTTGGGCTTCTTTGGGCTTTTGGGCTTCATTGGGCTTTGGGCTTTCGTCTCTAGGCAAAAACAAACTTACCCCGCGGAAACCGTACATTTTAATGCATATTCAATGCAATTCATATAGCCTTCCTTAATAAACGGGCTATCTAATGTCAAAACAATTTTTTAAATCGGATTAGCAGTTCCTGAGATAAGCACGTTAATTCAAACAAACTCTGCTTTTTATAAGATTAGTATAGATAAATAAATAAATGCAAATATTGAAATGTATAATATACTATAATATGGATATACATTTTAATATTTGCATTCAGATAATATATAAAAAATGATACCCCGTACTATGCTAGGTACTCTAGTTAATATCAATCTTAAAATAAGGCAAAAATAATTTTAGAAATTTTTAACCTACATGTGAAAAATGATAATAGAAATTGTACATTTTGCATAGATTCACAAGGACATACTATGTGCACATATTTCATTAACATGCTAGTAGGCACAAATGCGTAGATATATTGCACATTAAAAAATAGCACTTTATTGATTGAAGTTAGTATTATTATAATCTGGTTAAATACGCTTGTATATAGTTACCGAAACAGTTCACGTTCTTGCATTTTGCTATATTGGATACATTTTCATGAAGTAACAGTGTGGCAGCTTTCGGATGAGCACCATCTAGTTGCTATAGGTAACACAAAATAGCTAGAAATATATCTATAAATAGCTAGAAATGGCACCGTCTCATTTCTATGCATGGGATGGGGTATTTTATAATCCATACATATAATTAAATTGTAACTAAGCCGAATCTGTACATTAAATATTTTTTGGAAAATCTTATTGAAATAAACATTATGATCGATACAGAGGCCGAATCTATGGTTTTTAGAATTTTTGTCTGTCTGTCTGTTACCGCATCACGGAAAAACCACTGAAGGGATTTTAATGAAATTTGGTATAGTGATAGCTGGTTATCCGGGTCAACATACCTATACGTTTTACCGCGGGAAAATATCTCATTTTTGAGAAAAAATACAAAAACTGCTATGTAAGAGTATACTAATATGTAAAACCTAAGAATTTGGTTTTTGATCATCTAAACGCGGGCGGAGCCGCGGGCAATGCTAGTAGTATAATATAATGAGGGAAATATGTGAGGGCACAAGTATTATAGTTGTAGTATGAGTATATCATCTGGTGCGCTTTGAAGCCATTAACAAAAAATTGAAATGAATTTAATAATCTCACCATACTTTCCAGAGTAATCTCATAGAAAATTTTATTTTCTTTAATCCAGGGTATAGCATTTACAGGAGACACGCTGTTAATAAGAGGTTGTGGTCGGACAGATTTTCAGGAAGGTTCATCAGAGACGTTATACAATTCAGTGCATAGCAGAATATTTACTTTGCCAGATTTCTATACATTGTATCCGGCACACGATTATAAAGGACAAACTGCGACGACGGTTGGTGAAGAAAAGAAATATAACCCGAGATTGACTAAATCTTTAAAAGAGTTTATTGAAATCATGGATAATTTAAACCTGCCGTATCCTAAAATGATTGGTACGTTTTAAAGTTATATTACACTAGCTTATCCAACCTTCCTTCTTACCCTCGTTTCGTTCGAGTGCGTCCTTGTTTCGTAAGTTTTAAATAGATAAAAATATGTAGTTATTGCGAGTGTACCTTAGGACGTAGATGTATGATATTACGAACTTTTTTACTTTCATTGAAACCGACAATTTTGCAGTACATGTTATGATGTACTTATCTATTACGCATGCATTAAGGACGACTCGATAGAACCAGTGATAATGAAAGATTTTCTTGTAGTAAAAGGTATCCTAAATGTTGACCCGAGTAAGAGGTTATAACTTATCACTACAAAAAATTTAGGTAAAATCTGTTCAATGCTCTTTGCGTGTAAAGTAAACAGACATACATATAAACAGACAATAATTTCGATAACTATTGTTTTGGGGTCTATATTGTGTACGTAATACGTCACACTCATTGTTTTTAAAAAATGTTTCATGTATAGATTTCATTTAATTACTATTTTGTTATATGTGGTCTTGATAAAAAGTAGCCTATTATTTTAGAATCTTTGGAAAAACATAAAAAAATGAGTTGAAATAATAAATTGAATCATTATATTATTATGATAATTGATAAATGAATTACTTATATGTATGAATTGATATATTGCCAGGAAGATTAAGATAAAAATATAAAATACTTTAAAAATCATATTATTATTACAAACAAATGTTAATTGTGAGATGCAATCAATATATTTTTTTATTTTCAGATAAAGCTGTACCAGCGAATAGAGTTTGTGGATTATACTAAATGGCATATGAACAAATTAAAATCCTTAGAACTTAACTAAGAAAAATAATTGCACAAAAGTCAATATGTAAAAGCAATTCGTTAAAGTTAGTATTTAGAATCTTACTGCAAGTTTAAAAATTAGAAGGAATATCCCATAACCTGCAACTATCCGGTATCCGACCTCATTTTGCTATCCGGCTGGAGACCGGATAGTAATAACCAGACGGATATCGGATATTATTATTATTTTATTATTATTTATTTTTATTATTTGTTGTTATAGCGGCAAAAGAAATACATACTCTGTGAAAATTTTAACTCTCTACCTATTACGGTTCATGAATTACAGCCCTCGGACAGCAGAGGCTTAGTAATAGGGTTCTGTAGGCAACCTTCAGGTACAGAATCCTAAAAAGTAATTTGTCTAGTAGTGTTTCAAGTTGCCGGCTATTACGGCAACTGTGTGACGTACTTAGCTTGTTCTCAAGATGTGTTTCTATTACTGTTATCGACATTAGATAGTAACTATACGAGTAAAAGCGACGTGTCACGTTGTCAGAATTGTCGTTAAAAATATTTTTAAAGTTTTCTACTGACATTATCGATTTTAGAATGTCAATTTGAGCTCTTCTGCTCAAATTATTAGTTGCCCAAACGTAGACAACCATTAAAGCTTATAGAAATACTTAATTTACTTATTTACTTGGGATTTTTATTAAAGTAAAACTTTTTTATGTTAAAATGTATTTGTTTCTTAAAATCGGTTCTTCATAGGGTTACCATAATAGGTAGAACACGCATTGAGCTAGGTAGCGTCTTACTAAACATGTGTTAAACACGGTTTTGTAGTAAGAGAAATTAAACACTAGTTTAACGGTTATTTAACTTTTAGACACTTTTTAGTTAAACAGATTTTGAATCTATGTTTTAAATTATTTTTGTAAATATCTATAATTTGCATGGTTAAGAAAAACCATTGATCTGTAACAAATATTAAAATGTAGATTGCCTTTCATAATAACTTATTTTTTTTTAAGTATTAAGAAAGTCTTATACATATTTTTTATATAATATGTACATCATATCGTTAAGCTTGTAATAATAAAATTTAAGATAAATGAAAATTGTTATTATGTTGGTAAGTAAAGGTGCGGAATTAAGTTTTAATTACTCATCATTATAAATATATTTAATTGAAAAAATTGATTTTATTTTTATGATTGATACATACTGTCTACTTTTAAATTTTTATAAGTATAAATATGCAACGTGATTTGTAAATAATTAGAATCCTATTAACTTTTAGATTATTTGCTTATTATCGGGATATATTAATATTTATATATTTATAATAAAATAAGCAACATACATATTGTATTATTTACTACATTACGCCCTATCTTTGTTTCGCTCAGGACCAAACCGTACATCGCATAAGCAAAATTCTGAATAGCTACATTTTCAGATTGGGAAGTCCTGGGTTCGATTCCCAGAAGTGTAAGGTTTTTCTATTAAAAAATTCACAGTATCAGCCCAGAGTTGGGAAGTTGGCGGTGTTTCACATCCGAGCCTCCAAGAGCACGTAAAGCCATCGGTTCTGCGCGCGATCCGAATGAGCATCCTTGTATTTTTAAGTAATGTACAGAAATTGTTTCATTTTAGTCAAGATTTATTTTAAATAGATGGCGTTATGTGTATCGATTTGTTATTGACATTAAAGTAAAATTAATGAAAGAAAAATATTAAACTCGGTAAAATAAAATATATTAAAATATAAATATACTATATTCATAATAAAAAATGAAGTTACGTCATCTGAGACATGTATTATATGAGTCGTATAGAATCAAAGGTGGCCATCTTATTTTTTGGCAGTTTTGAGATATCTATACCCAAAAATTTCAAACATTGAATTAAACGGTTTTATTTGACAACACAGAACCAAAGGCGGCTATTTTCCTTGCAAATGCTATGTTAAATCGTTGTTTAGTTTCAAAGACGGCAATCTTCTGCGTATTCAGAATCAAACTCGGCGCTAATGCTCACTCGTTCAGTCATTTTAAAAAAATTGTATCATTGTCATTTAGTACAACCCTAATTCTGCATTAAATTATGTAGAATCAAAAGAGGTAATCTTCGTAAGATGTGGTGTCAAAAGCGGCCACCTCTATTAAACACGGAATCACATTCGGCAATCTTCAAAAAGTTAGTATCAAAGGTGGCTATATTAATATTTGATTTTAAAATAGGTACGCTATAATAAAAGTAAAAGTATTATTTGTGTTTTAAAAGTATCCTAAATCTTTAGTACTTACTATAATAATGCTTTGTGCTCTACAAAACGTTTTTTTCATTTACCCAAAAATGACTGAAAGTGAGATAGCCGCCATTGATTCTATACGACTCATATATAATATATCCACAAACATTAGTCTGTAACTATCCAACGACTTATTTTCAATTTATATTTATTTGAAGTAATTTTTTAATAGTGACATCTGTCGTGAAAGTTTTACTTTAGAGGAACTTTGAGGTTTGTTTTTTTTTTACTTGCTAGTGAAGTGTTTGGCTCACTAGTTCCATGTTCATTATTCAAAGATGGCGCTATATGTGACCAAATGGTCATAGATCATATTATAATACTATACTAGTAATTTGCATAAGGCAAGGTATAATTGCAATAATTATATTCCCCTAGTTTCATGAAAATCAAAAAAATATTGCGGAAATAAAAAAAAAACACAAGAAAAAATTAAAAAACGGGTTTTTTGGAAATATGTCGAAAACTTTGAGGTTATTGTATAAGTCGTAGATTTTTACTAGACCTACAACTTTTGTAAAGAATACGTATATAATTGTAATAAGTACGCACGTTGACCGCCCAACGCACTTTTACCACACTACGCATTTTGGCCGCCCAACGCACATTTACCGCCCTACAACTTAGCAAGTAGACAATTTGGCCAAAGTAGGCAAGTAGGCAAGAGCTGAACTGAGCTTAGCTGAGCTGAGCTGAGCATTTTTGGATTGTGTAGAATTAAGAAAAATTATGTTATTTGCGGTATAGCTATAATATTCTGTAATTTGATTTGGAAAAAGAGCACTAGTTTAGTTTATCCTGGCGGTGCTCTACTCAGCAGAACTACCTTCCGAGCCAAGGTAGCTTCCTCAAGGATCGACTCATTGACTATTATTAAATTAATTTGACAATTTAAAAGTGCTTGTATAAATCTATTATATAATTCAATAAAGTATTTTTTTTTCATCATTCACATTTTTTTAACTTTCTAAAGTGCCCCAAAATTGATGTGTGCCCAAGGGCCCCTGCGTGGTTCAAGACGGCCCTGGTAATTTGGTGTAAGTTTTCATAATTATCGATGTCGTAATATAACTGAACGGGGTTTTCATTTTCTATAAATGCCTATTAAATAGACTTCGAAAATATCTGGTTACGTATCTATAGTAAATGAAAATCCCATTTGGTTATTTTTTACTTCTTAATGCTTGGACGTCGTTTTTTTTTCAAGCTTTTTATTTTTCTATTTTTAGTGTAGATGTAGTAGTAGTAAAGTAAGAAGAAAATATTTTAATTAAATATACGCTTAAACTATTTGAGTTAGTTTGATGCGAATTGATTTATGAAGACTATCAAAAACTCGCTTTTATTAGTAGATAACACTAAAAATATTAGTCTCTAAAATCATATTTAACGTATTGATCTTGTGAAATCAAATCAAATAAGCCCAAACTGAAAGTATGTACTAGTAACCGATGAAAAGTTCCACTATCCATCTTCAGGCCTCAGCATCAGATCAGCTCGATGATACCAAATTACTAATTCAAAGAAAATTTATAGACCATCTCGGGATTTACCAAACTCTATAAGAACATAAAACCTCCTTCTTTTTGGAAATCGGTTAAAAAGTAGTTTCTGATTGCGGTTTCATGCATGAATATATTTTGATTGCAACCATTTAACATAACCCCGCTAGAACTCCATTTTATAATACGAGGACTGAACCGGTATTTTGGATCTTAATAAAACACAAAAATATATAATGCTAGCGACTCACCCTCGCTTCGCTCGGGTTCGTCCCTAGCTTGCTTTCCCATACAAAGTTTCATCGCCATTCTTACCCCTTTAAGGGATGATTTCCGGGATAAGAACTATTTCACTCACTTTCTTTTCATATCATGAGATTTAAAAAAACATTTTAGTAAAAAATATATAATAATAAATAATATATTACAAAAGCTATGTACTAAATACTTATATACAGACTAGCGACTCACTCTCGCTTCGCTCGGGTTCGTCCCTAGCTTGCTTTCCCATACAAAGTTTCATCGCCATTCTCACCCCTTTAAGGGATGATTTCCGGGATAAGAACTATTTCTCTCACTTTCTTTTCATATCCTGAGATTTAAAAAAACATTTTAGTAAAAAATATATAATAATAAATAATATATTACAATAGCTATGTACTAAATACTTATATACAGACTAGCGACTCACTCTCGCTTCACTCGGGTTCGTCCCTAGGTACGTTTTAATTTTTTTGAGCGGAACCCTAATTCTTTTTCTAAAATCTTCCAGTGAAAGTCCCGTCAATATCAGTCCAGCCGTTTCAGAGATTATCCGGAACAAGCAGACAGACAGACAAAAATTTAGAAAATGTGTTTTTCTTATAAGTACAGTATATAATTTCATATGCATTTAGTAAAACGCTGTTATTTTGACATTACAAACAGACACTTCAATTCATTTATCTGTATAGATTAGTCATAAAAACAATATAGGTATTGTAATTAAAAAAAATAGATATTTTACTCTATTCTTTAAAGCAAATGTAACCTAAAATCTTTATTAATTATTTAATCCTATTCCATTAAATTAAAACGACAAAACTTCCTTGAAAATGGTTACTCAGAAGCGTAGTGTCTATATGGAAGGTCACAGCTACGAGTAAGTTCTGGTTGACATTTTGCCAACTCCAGTTCGTCATGTCCCCTGGGCC